CACACACACACACACACACACACACACACACACACACACACACACACACACACACACACACACACACACACCGTCCGCCTCGATAAAAGAAAACGTAAACGAAAAAAATAAATAAAAAATTTACCCAACTACGAACGCAATGACTAGACTTGAATGAGCCCTACATCGGCGACTGACCACGGATGGTGGCAGCGATCTCCATAAGCGCGTGGCACATCATCTTCTGCGTCTCATCGGACGCCTCGTAGTGCGTTTTTTTGACTGCAACTTCCTGCTCAAGTATGTCGCATTGCCTCGTGAATATGCTGCATTGCCGCTTGCTAGACGATTTGATCGTCGACGACATCAGTTCGCCATGGCAGTCCATGACATCAGCGATCGACTCCAACGCTTGTTGGCGTGCATTTTTCCGGTTCCCGCCTCCAGCCCCACTGCCTGCGTTGTTTTCGGAGTCCCTCGCAGAAGAACGTTCTTCAGGGAAGCCTTCACCACCGGCCTCACTACCAACAGACTCCCCACCACCCGCTCCTCGCCGGGGAAGCTGCACCCCGTTCGGACTTCCGGTGTCGGCGACATTGGGAGGGAAAATGGTGTGGTTGCCCACCATTCCCGCGTGGATCTCGTTGTACAACACCCTCTCCATCCGGAACTTAAAGTTGTGCTCCTTCCTTTCTTCATTCGATAGCCTGAAGAAATCTGGCTGACCGCTCGCATTCTGAAACCTCTATATCTTCTTGTAGTTTTGGAAGAGATTGTCTCACTTCTTCATGCAGTCGTCCGCGTCTCTAGGCCTCCCCTCGTTCGCCATGCGCTTCGCAATGTCGTCCCACTTCCACTCCTTGGTCCGCATCCGACCGTAATTGTGACCCAGCCCAGCGAGGTGCATGTCTTGCTCCCGCTTGCATCTCACCAAGAGCATTTGGTCTTTCGGAGACTAGTACGTCGCAGACTTCCCGCCGTCGGCGTCGGCGCCACCCGTCTTCCCCGGAGGCTGAATACGAATGTCGTCGTCGTCGTCTCCTACTTCCACGTCCTTCATCAATCATTCGTCGGCGTCGTCACCGCCACCACCATCATCGTCGCCGCCATCGCTGTGTGCCCGCATGTTTGACACTCCTCGTGTGACGTTCTCCACAGTGGGTGCTGGACGCACCGGCGGTCTGCAGGCGCCCTTGTCCCTAAACCCGGGTTGGGTTGGCGTTGTGTGGTTCGGCATCGAAGGACGTGCACCACCGATGCGCAGGGACCCGCCTGCGACTCCATTGTGTGTGGGGAAGGTACTTCTCAATCGATCGGTGGACGGTGCAGTCGATCCATGTTGTCGGGCTACTGCCGAAGGGCCAACACCGCTAGTAACAGACGCACCGCCACGAAGTGTGGACTGCTCTGTATGCTGACTTCCAGCATGTTGAACGCCACGTGGCGAAGGATCGGCGTCGATGA